GCGGCATTCTTGAGCTAATGAGTTTTGATGAAAAACATATTTAATAACATGAAATTAATAGACTGTAGAACGAAAATAATAGATGTATTAGTCGGATTATGCAAAATTTATATTATTTTGAATAAATTTGCGGTTTTTATGTATATATATCGTGTACGTTTACTCACATACGGGAGAGTCAAATTTTATAATTAGATCAAGAATATAAATTTATTTCTTGCATTAATTTTTATGTGACTCAATAAATTATTGTTCTTATATCATTTAAAAAAAAATTGTATAAGCTTTCAAATAAAATTAGCGTCTTCAGTGAACTGCGCTCCAACAAGCTATATTATGGTATATTGATTATATATCATTCTAGAAAAATTTAAAAATGTGAGCTTAATGCTACTCACACCATCTACGATTAATGAAACCATATTTATTTCGAAAACGTAATCAAGCCATCACTTTTTTAAACGTAGAAGATGTAGAAATGTACTTTGTAAAATTACCTATGCGACTTCCATACTTTACTTCTATCTGCATGTTACAATAACTAATTGAACTTCAATTGAAAATATTTTAAGTGTAACTTAAATGAAATGCGAGTGTATCTGTGTATTGGAGTATATTACTACAACCAATACACGGTAGAGGCGAAAAATATCGCCAAAGAGCCATCACAATCGCGCGGTCACCTCCCTAAAATACATACAGTATTTGCAATCGCTACACAGAATAGTGTCAAGAGATACATTAAGGAGGTACCTCCGCTCAAAATTTACCGAAGAGATTTGACTCAAACTTCGTACACTAATCCTTTTTAATGATACAAATGAACTTGCAAAATTGTATGCAAGTTCAGTACTTCGTTTAGAAGATATTCGTATTTCAATTTAACATTGAGTCGAATGAGAAAGTCAGTTACAAGAGAATATCTCAAAATTTACCGAAAAGATTCGAGTAAAATTTTATGTGTATCATAATTAACTACCAAAGAACGTACGGTTAAATTTTCGTAGACATTGGATACCTTTTTAATGCTCAATTAATTAATAATAATTTATTGACACTAATCTCGGGACATTTGACCAGAATTTCGCCGGCGGGAGCGGATGACATAACCTAACATTTTTGAATTTCTCAGCGAAACGCAAATATCTTATATTATTTATAACGAAGACTATAATGACCTATCATTGATAGAAATTCAAAATTAAATAAATAATGGGTTGTTTAATTTTATATCAATAATGTTTTATGCAATATAAACATTTTTTTTTATAAAATATGATTGAAAAATAACAAAATTTTACAAGTTTAATTATAAACTTCTTGAGATTAACGACACCAGCCGAGCAGTAAAAATATTGAGTTTTTCACAGTTGGTAGTTCTGCTCGGAGGTACCTCCTTAAGACAGTTCATGATCGTAGCAAGACCTTTGCATGCTATATTTGTCACAAGTTATATGTCCACAAGGATATCCTCAAATCTTATATTAGTACTTTACGATACAAGTGCTATAAGTAACACTTTACGGCACGGCGCAGTTTAGGACCCAAGCACCGAGTATCGTACTCAATTTTATAGCACTAAGCTAATTTCACATTTATGCCCCCTTTTCCGAGTCATGAGTCGCACTTTCTGGTACGGAAAAGTGGGGTTAGCACACGAGAGCAGCGAGTGTGATGATGGGAACGACGGGGTGACGTAAAGTGCGACTTATGTCACCAAAAAGCGTGTCATAAATGTGAACTAATGCCCCGCAGTGCTATAAAATTGCAGTACATGATGATATTGCATACGTATTCACAAATCGTATAGATACAATGGTGATCTCAAGAACTATATTAATTCATTACACGATAGCAGAAAGCCCTTTGAATGTGAGATTTGTCAAAAATCATCATACATGATTGCATCAAACTTTTCGAGTGTGATTATTGTCACAGATCATTTTCATCCAGAGGTAATTTCGATAAGCACATAAATGCAGTTTACGTTCGTATCAAACCTTTTGGATGTTAGACTTGTCACAAATCATTCGGACATCAGTCTCATCTCAAAAGGCATATCATAACAGTACATGATGGGAGCAAACCCTTTGATTTGAGAGTTGACATGAGTCACAAATTATTTACCGCAAGAATAACCTCAAATCTCACATAAATGCAGTACATGATCAAGAAAAAACTTTCGAATATAAGATTTATCACAAAGCATTTGGAGAAAAATATTACCTCAAAGTTCATATAGGGAATGTTCACATTCAAAGCAAACCTTAGAAGCGTGAAATTTGTCTGGAGGCATTGAACGCAATGAAGACTTCTGAAGTCACATGAATACGCTATATAATTTTAGAAAATCTTTCCCATAAATATTCTTAATTTTGTTATAGAACAATAAAATATTTCAAATTGTTATTCATTTTTTTGTGAGCTTATACACCAATTTTTCCCCTTATGCTATTTTTATGGTACAAACTGCAGTTTTGAGACAATCTACCTTTACTACATAAAAGTTACATCTTTGAGCTCTCAAGTACGAACAAAAAATGTTGCAATTGCACACTGTATCTAAAAATAGCTTATTTTTGCTATTTTAGCATTTTTGCACTGTCCGTAAGGTTCAGAGCAGAGTTTTTATGGTAGAGAACTCTAGGTCAAATCAAAATCTTCAGAAAGATGCTCTTGGAGGATTGAGTTTTGTAGAATTTTGATTGAAATTATTGAAAAGCTTGTATGCAAACAAATGTGATCAAAAGCAAAAAATGAGAACATTTATTGATGTTCTCGAGCACATATGGAATAATAGAACTGATATTAAGGTCAAATCCAAATTCTACAATACTCAATCCTGAATGTGCAAGAAACATTTACTCTGTTAACATGAAAACTTGCTTTTTTGCTGGAAAAGAATTTTTAACATATTTTTTGTTGACTTCATGGAATTTTAATTTTAATTTCGCGCCCTTGTGACGATCTCGTTATGTCATTCCAAATGTGTGTCGAATGAAAGCCCTTCGTCATACATATCCCAATATTACATCACGCAAGAGGCCAAGGTTTTTCAGGGCAATATGTATTTAGGTATACAATATGTAAAGCCACATTACTTCACGTATGAATATACATGGACTCGTGGAGTCTCGTGCAATGAAGTTTCGTGTCAGTGTCAGTTGTTTTGAATGAAAAGTAATGCTATATTTGAAACGCAACGCTTAACAAATTTTGAGCCTTCTTATCCTGTAAAATTTTCCAAACGTATAACAATTTCATTCTTTTTTAATCTGGCCCATTGTCGTTTCTTATATCTAACTCGTCAAATTCAAAAGTTGCGTAAATTAGGATGAATGAACGATTTATTTTTTTTTTAAAGAGTTAATACTCGTCTTAACTCATTAGCGCTGACATGAAATTTTCTGAACATTTGCGGGTGAAATATCTTCAATTCTGCTAATGCTTCTTTCCAAAGAGTTTTTGGTAACTAACAAAAATCGATAATGCGGCAAAAATTGTTTATAGTAACATGTTTGGATCTTATTTTTTTTCAAAACCCCGCTAATTAAATGAGCATTTGAGAATTAACACAAAATTTATTTTTCGAGATTATTGAAATGTTATCAAAAAATTCACGAGCGAAAATAAATTTTTCGCAATATGCGTGATATAATAACTTAACGTTTTAAATTAACATTTACAATTATTAAATTAATAAATAGCACAAATCTAATGATTTACTTATCTTTGCAGGTGAGTTTTTGACTTTTTAATTTGTGCACAGTAGAATTACTGCTGTAGGTAAGTAAGGAATTAATGTCCCTTTATACTAACACTTTTTTCGTTGATAAAACAGTTCCCGCTTCTTTCGATGATGGAGCTTGCGCAAGCTCCCACTATTTAATACCGACGAAAGCTTACCAAGAGGCAGAGCGTTATCTAACGTAGTTATAAAAATTCGAGTATGAATTAAACGTTTTTTATATGATAAAGTATTTTGGGTACATTTTACAAAATGGCTTTTCGGAAAATCCCTTTGAAAACGAGTGATACTGGATTTAATATTACTAAATATAAGTGAAGTATTTTTATATTAAGATTCAATATTGTCAAACTAATCAACCAATGATAACGGTTTTTTTTACCAGTTATGAGTGCTTTTCACAAAAAATACTAAAAAATAATATCGGCACAGGATAACCAATTTGTGTTTTCTCTGATTTCCTTCACCTTTAAGTTGATCGCTCTCGAATTATCATTCAAACCTTGTTTAATAATTTTCCTACTCTTACCTTTTATCCATCTTATTATTTTTATTTTCAAGTACAGATATAAGTTATCGGTAGAAACAGTGAAGTATTTACTGTTTAAACGGATATAAAAATTATACTCTTAATGTGTTCTAAAATTCTAGTCTGAGTGATAAAAATGGCGAGAGTTGAAATGTAACAATTTTAGGTAAGTATCATTTCTTGTTTTTAAGTAAATTTAATTTTTATGAAAAGAATTTCCTATTGACTCTAATCCAAAAAAACTAAAATTCACGATTTCATGTATCCTGTATATTTAAACACAAACGAGTAGGAACTTTTTGTACGACACTTTGAGAGTTCGAATTGTGTCAAGTTGTACAAGTGAATAATTCACGAATGGAAAAATTTGACGCACGTGAAAAATATACCGTTATAATGAATAAATCATCATCACGATGTCAGCGCAATCAAAAGTGTTTAAATTACCATTTGGCTCAATAAAGGGAGAAAAGCTTTGAATCTAACGTTGAATGAGCGGCAGCTCGTCTCTCAAATGTTACATAGCGTGCGTGCTATAAATCGCGCGAGACTAGGATCTAAGAGGCGCCAAAACGTCGCTCTTTTTTGAGTCCTCGCTCAGGAACATCGAGAGAGAGAGAGAGAGAGAGAGAGAGAGAGAGAGAGAGAGAGTACACGTGTGTTGGTGTACAAGTTTATACACGAGCAAAAGCTTGTGTGCACGAAAGAGGCGGGGTGGCACATGCGCGCGGCTCCAGCCTGCGCGTGCTTGTGGCCTGCGCCTCGGGGGTCGCCAGTCACGGCCCATCTGCCCAGCGCTCAGCACGTAAGTGTCTCAACTCCAACAACCATCACCACATGCAACTGCAACCAAAAATAAATAAAAACCAACAACAAAACCATCGAAACCCGCTTGGCTGTTCAAACAAAATATCTAAAATAAAATTAACGTTACGCTGCACGCAACTGCACGCATCATCAAATTACTTCATCATCATGAGATAGGATCGGTTAGTTGGACACTCGGCGGCGAGACAACGAAAACCGGATGCGCTGTGTGCCAATTTTTTTTGCGTTCCATTACCTTGGGCGTCGTGTCTGGCGGGATCTAATTGTTCTTCTCGAGTCGCGCGTGTACTGGTGCCTAATATAAGTGCCACCAGCGCCCCAAAAATGGCGCGACTAACGCAGATTTGGCATTCCGGGCGAGCGGGCGCTGCCCGCCTCCGCCCTTTGCTCTCTCTCTCTCTCTCTCTCTTTCCATCGTTCTCTCACTCCCTCTTCAAGTGACAGTGCAATGATCCTTTCTATACATACATTGTATAACGTGCTCCTACATATCTATGTAAATGAACGAGCGCCTACGGTACGCGTGTGTAATCGTTATCTGTGTAACGTATACCCGTATGTATACAACATCATGATGCCTTTGAGTGTGAATATAGACGATTCAAACAAACGTGCTTATCGTGAAGGACGATGTATAAATTTTTTGATTTAGTGAGTCTGGGCAATGTCACTCGTGGGAACTGTCAACAGAGCCGTTATGCAATATTTCACGTGATTTGATTCTCAGACGTGTTATCATACGTTACCTGCAATTACTTTCAACTGCTTCTTTTTTTTACTTTTTTTTAAAGCTCGATAAAATACTGTGACATTTTTTGAACTTTGAAAAAATTAATTTACTCTTAAATGTTCTTTAAGGTTAACATACATTATACAGTTGTACATAGAAACAACAACAAATCGATGTAAATTGTAGTGTTTGATAATTATGCACTTGTGGCATGAGTCAAGGAAAGTGTACTCTTTTATCGCGCAGCTCATAATCGCGTTAAACGATTTGCAACAGATGTATTATAAAACAGTTTATGATAATAATTAACGAAAATCAATTTGTGTTAGAAAAATATGATAATTTTAAAACCGTATCTTCATTAGGAATCACAGCGTTTAAAAGGGGCAATTTAATTCGAGATCGTTATCGATAATGGTTCAATTAGTATTCCCGAAAATAATTATATTGCACACCGATAAGAGATTCGTTTTATTTTTTTTCAAGCTACAAAATATGAATTAATGAATGTAAATTCAACGATTTTGGTTCATCATCATCAGCCATGTATGCTTATATGTATCTTTACACAAATGAAATGTACACGAGCTTCTTTAAACAATAAAAAATGCATGCGATGAATAATGGTGTTTCTACAGTGTTATTCACAAATAGCCGCATATGTATGAAAAGCTTGGATCAATGTGCAGCGAATAATGAAAACACATCACATGCATGTATGCATTACGTAGATTGTCCTACTTTTTTTTTTCAAGTGAAAAACACTAACGTTACTCTTGGAATTTTTATCGACAAAAAACTCTTGCAATCGCCAAGTGTAAAAGTGAATTTAAAATAGTTTACTTGAATTAATATAAAATGATTTAAATATTTATTTCACTGGAAAATAATTAATCGCATTTACCGCATATTCGAAGAATCGAAATTATTGTCAAGGCAGTACTGTAGGGGGTCCTTATGTGTTCTTCATTGTGAAGCCGCTAGACGACTCACTGACCTCTTCTACTTATAGGTGCCGTGAGTAAATGTATTTATGTGTTTGAGTGTCCAAAGTAAGGGGAACAATACAACTCGAGAGAAATTAACAGTTATATTGTGGGTGGTCTTGTTCAGTCGAACCTTGAACTTTCCGCTGTAAAACATTCGAAAGTTGTAATACCACAACGAATTTCGAGCAGGGTGAACTTATTTCCATATTTTTCATGAAGCTCGTTATTCGTGGAAAAATTATTTATGTATTGACAGTAAAATTTACCCTCTTTACGTTTATATAGTTATCTCTCCGTAACAATAAATTAATATTAATTAAATTTTTATGATAATTGTATAATAATGGTCAAACAATATAAAAAAAAGTTGAGACAATTTTTATTTCCAATTGAGTGGCATGTCATTCAATTATATTTTTCGGGTAACTGTGAAAATGATTATTATTGTGGCATCTATTGCTTACAACAAAAAAGTTAAATATCTACAAGTGATATCAGTACTGCGAATACTCCTCTTTTGAATCACGTTGAAGTATCAACAGTAATGCATATGAACGTTGTCGGTTAAATTGAATAAATGGAATGCTGATTGATGATTGCTTCTAACAGTTCATTCATTTGCAACGTTAGTATGATATATTCATTTATATTTTGTGTTTTAGAGTGTTGTAGATTTTTAATAAATTATTTAATAATCTATTTCATTCATGTAAAAATTTTGATAACGGTTTGGTTTTTTAATATAAATAAGTGTAAGAAGATAAAACGGTATATGTATACGCATGCCACATAATAGGCGAAAAAGTCTTTATGATAAATGGAGTCTTTAATATTCTATTCAAACTTCACGAGACAAACACCATTGGAAACTTTTCAATCGCTTTTGCAGGATATTACTTTTTTTTACATGAAATACTCGGTAAATAGTATACTTTACTCAGCGTATGTGCACGTGTTTAGCATGTTACATGAAATAATTTAAATGAAACTTCTGACTTTGGTGCAGATGATATATAATTAAATTTCATTTTTTTATTTAGCTATTGGAATTGACATTCAATTTTGTGCATAAAAAGATGTGTGAAAAATTTAACGGTCTTTTATATCCCATGGTTTGCCTTCCTGTTAGAATCTTGTGAAAATATTGACGAACGCGATAAAAAATTATAGGAATATAAATTAAAGAATAATCCTTTAACTCAATTTTACTGTAGGCGGATTTTAAACGTAGATAAATAGTGGAGCCAAATTAAAATTCCGTTGAAGAATAAATACTCGTTAAACTCCTTTGAACCCGTTGGAAAATTAAGTATCACGAATATCACAGCGTATGCGAAAATGATCATCGATCAGACATTGAAAGAGCTTTCACGATGCGTTCTTTTTTGCGGGAAAAACGTTCAGAGTTGAAAAGCATACCAAGTCTAGAGCAGTCACTCTATTGGGGCAACATCGAATATTCTGTTTGGCGTTTTACACGTATGAGTCTCGTGTAGGCATTTATGCATTTCTCGCTAGCCAGCGCAGTAATTAGCAATGCAATACGCGGGCAAATCGTGTACAACGTGCTGCTCTTATGAATTAGTCGGCAATGTAGTCTTCAATCATTTCATTGATGCTCGAAGTGTTATTTTAATTGAGGAGATACCGTAGCCAAGTTAAATTGATTATTTTCTAACACATTTGATGAGATTCCCATTAAATATTCTACTAAAAAATACGCAGGTGTCTTAATTCAGTAGTAATTTTTAATACCCCCGTAATTTTTTGGAAAAACATATCGCAGAAAACCCGTTTAAAAATGTTCATTATGTCCTGGCTTTAGTACTTTCAAAGTATCGAGTTTAGATCCATTTTTCGCTTGATCGATCTTTCACAATTAAATTATTTATTAAGTGAATCAAAATACGAAAGAATAATTTTTAATTTTACTTCTACTTATTTGATGTACATACAAATATACGGTGAAAGTTATTCGGTTTTATACAGTCTTAAAAACTATTAGATAAAGGGAGATAAAGAAAGCTATTGTTTCGCAGTTTATAGACACTAATTTTTCACAATGTTATATCACTTTTTCACGTAAAATTTTAATAAGTGTTTTTGAAGTTGCAGATTCAAGGGTATAAAATTCATTTCTCATGAACAAAATATAAAAGTATAGTCGTCAGACAGAGAGATAAAATTACTATGCCAGAAGATTATTAAATTTCAAATAAAAATTAAAAATTAAGATTTTTGTTTTTAAAATTGTAAAATTTCTCGTAAAAAAATTAACAAGCTTGTTTATTTATTCAATGCATCATGAAAAATATGTCTGACCAAAACTGATTTTTACCACTTTTTAGGTGATATTAATGAATAAAAAGAGGTTGAAGTGAATTGATACATTTTCTAGAAATTTAAAAATTTCATTTAAATTAATTTTTTTTTTATTTTTAATATTTGTTTTTGTATTTTTGACGGAAACTTTTACTTATCAGAGGTTTTAACTGATTTTCTTTTTTCTTTTTATTTTAAATTTTGTACCTACAATTTTTAAAGTAAAAACTAAGGTAAATTAAAGGTTCTAGGCCTTGTTTCTTTTTTTATATTTTTCATTCAATTCAACATTATCTTGCGCAAATAAAAAAATGTTTTCACAGAATAACAAGAAAGGATAAAACGATACAAGCTTGTAGAGATTACTTAGATTTTAAAATTACTCGGTTGTTTCTTCGTTCTCAGAAGTATGAGATGTCATGTTTTACTTTTAGATTTTGTGTAATCATAAATGTTCGTTAAAATTAAATGAAAAAATGAAATTTTTGTGTTTATTCTTGATGTGATATCATTCAAATCAACTCTAATTTTAATAGTAGAATGTTGAAATTGTTTCACAGGGAATTAGGAGTCTCTAATACAATCTCTAATGGCTAGTGTAATTCAATAACATTCGCGTTGCCTTTAATCTAAAACTTTGATAACTCTCAGTATATTAGTAGTAACTTTCCGCAAAAATGTTCAGGTCACATTTAAGCAAATGGAACTTAATTAACTGACTTGGACTTTCTCGAAGGCAACATTTCGGATGACATTGCGTCTCAATTTGTGCATTACGCGTACTAAATGCGTAAGTCACTTTAACGCGGCGATAAATTAAGAATTTATGACGATGATTTTGCGTAATTCTTGCTTAAAAGTATCAAGTATTAACGACTTCTGGACCCATTCATATGCGCCCAATAACCTTATATTCATCACAGCGGTGACTAGTGT